TTTTTGGTTTTGATACACTTTTTTTCAATGTTTACTTCTTTTTTATTAAAGTATATTTTCTTTTTATTTTATGATCATGGTTTTTTGTAATTATTGATTATTTGGTTAGAGCGCTACCCTTCTTCTAATTTTGTCACTTTTTACCTTAATTAAGGGTGAGGTTTTAGCTGCTCTTTTATTTATATTTCTTATATTTTTTTGTTAATTAGGTGTTTTCCAGTGGCGCTATCCATACCCTAAACTAATCTTTTGAGGCTATAGATATTTTTGAATATTTTTTTCATTCTCCCCTCATTCTCATTATGACCCTCCCCCTCCCCCCCTGTTTTCCCCTTCCCTAAGAGTCATGATACAAAATTTTTCAAAGTAATTTTTTTTTTTTGTCTTTTTATGGTCCCAAGATGTGAGGGATCAAATCTGTGTTGTATAATCGAAAAAAGTTTGAGCTAGAATTTGTGTATTTCAGGTCTATTACCCTACATTTCCAGTATGAGTGGCGTTACAATAGCTTCTGTAACGGACAATCTGTATCTAGCCTAACATTCTTTGTTACTGGAATACTATGACGTTTTGTGCTATAATGCACTAGTAAATGTTTTGTGTGAAGTTTATGTTTCCCCATATTGCTTACTGTGTGATGGTACTTCCTTGTAAATGCACATTGTTTAAATAAAGAATTACAAAAAAAAAAAAAAATTTTTTCATGCTTCAGCTTTAAGGTTTTTTCTTTTATGCTTCATTCACATGGACATAAAACACATTTACAGACTTTTTTTTAAAATTTATGGATCTGAACACAGCTGCATTGTTTTCGATGGAGACATTCACACAGGTGTGTAAACATACATTGCGTTTAGATCTGTAACACAAAATCTAAAAACCTGCATCAAAGAACATATGTATACATGTATACCAGATGCAGGTATTGGGGAAAAAGGTACATTTTTTACTGATCATTATGCAGAAACTTTTATGCTAGAAGAAAGCAGACGTAATAAGATCAGTAAAATTTTTGTGCTCGTGTGAATATAGCCTATTGCTATCAAGGGGTTTGCACACAGGTGCGTAAATATCAGTAAACTACTGCCACGTTTAGATCAGTAAAAAAAAAAAAAATCTGCGTTACTGGTCAGTCAAATTTACATGCGAATGTGCACAAATAAGCACATAAATCAAACCTCCCCTATGTTTTTAGCATTGTGAAAGGTAGAAGAACTTTTACAGGCATAAAAGCACATATACATGCATATATGTGTGTGAACGTGCACACTATATGAACCTTACTCACGTTTTTCTGCCAAGAAGATCTGGTTTTCATATACCAGTATAATGTGCAAGAACCCTTAGGCTCTTGCACATGGATGAAATTGTTTATTGATGTTTAGGCTTCTTGGTCACGGATGTAATAATTTATTGACTCAGGATCTTGTTAAGAAAAATGTGTAAATGTACATACATGTATATATGTGTAAAGTTATTCTTCAACCTCTTCTAGTTGTAAATGTTGCAAAATATGTGTATATGCATGCATAAACACAAGTATACTTGCATATTTGTATAAATCACTGCATTCATGTAAATTTTTCAGTTTTATTTTTGGGCTCTGTATTCATTGCTATATTATTGATCTTTACACAACTGTGTGTATTTGTAACATAGACAACAAAGCACCTGTGTTCAGATCAATAAAAAACATGGCGTTTTTTTTTCCTCCTGTGTGCAAGAGGCCTAGCTATGCTGCGTCATGGCTCCGCACCTGCCAGGAGAGGGCTCAAGCACTCTGTGACACTTTTTTTTTTTTTTTTTTTAGACATGTCTCCTATATGCCATCACTTGTGCATATGTGATCTAATACAAGAATGTAATCTATCAGTGTGTCTATGCTCGCTGCTAAGGTTTGGAACTTTTCCCTTGCAGCATAATTCACAGGAGAATGAAGCATGTATCTCTATGTGCCAGTGCAGTTAAAATAATATATCTGTCTGTGTACCTTCCTGGGAAAACATACGGCACTTTTATTGCAAATAGAAATTGCTGTGTGCTTGTAATATGGGAGGCAGTGTGGGGAGCCACAGGGAATTAGTGAGGGGCGCTGAGCTAGCAGTGAATAACGTCTACTTAGTCAAAATAAATAATGGTTAATACATGTCTAGTGGAGACAAAGGATGCAAATAGAATCCAGAAGTAGCTGCTGCCCATTGTTCTGTCCACATCTCTCAAGGACATTTCCCGACTTCTCTCCTGCTTGAAATACAGATTCATGACCGCTGTGTGTCTTCTGCAGATGGTACTAAATAAAATCCATAAAATGACGGGAAGAATACAAAAAACATAAACAGTGCCCGAATTTCCGGGCCTGGTATTTCAATGTGAGTCGCACAGCAGCCCTGTTGCTTCATTATTTACTAGGAGTTCAGTATTAGAATGTTTGCAGATGCCAAATTAGTTGGGTTGAATTATTACTTTGAAAACTGTTTATTTTTTTATGGTTCTTGTTGCTCAATAAAAGACAAGAGCTCCCATGTGTTTGTGTCATTCATTATTATTTGCTTGGAATTTTTTTTTCTGAAGACTTATTGTTTTCTGCTGGCAAGATTTGTATTACAGTTTACAGCATAGCTAAGGAAGTTTGTGCTTTTCTATTGCTGTCTATGATCTCATTTGTGAAAGTGAAACTTGAATAAAGTGTAATCTAAAGGTACCTATGGACATTCAGAGGTGGCCAGCTATGCGAACACAATTCAACCACTGGATAACCTTTGTTTATAAAGTCTAAATAAAAAAAAAATTGCAAGGAGGCTCTTTATTGCAGAGGAGGTGTGCCAGCCCTATCCTAAATGATCCCACCCTCCTCTTCCATGTAGACTGTATATACTTTCTGAGATCTGATGACTGCAGGCTCTGTCGATTGTCTACATCATGGGTGTCAAACTGGCGGCCCTCCAGTTGTTGCGAAAGTCCCATCATGCCTCTGCCTTTGGGAGTCATGCTTGTAACTGTCAATCTTGCAATGCTTCATGGAACTTGTAGTTTGGCAACAGCTGGAGGGCCGCCAGTTTGACACCCGTGGTCTATATCCAGCAGTGGGGGGCAACTGTTCAATGCAGCCTATGGGGAAGATTTACTAAAGCTGGAGCACTTGGAATCTGGTGTGGCTGTGCATGGTAGCCAATCAGCTTTTAACCTCATCTTGTTCAATTAGGCATTGACACTAAAACCTGGAACTTGATCAGTTTCTTCGCAGAGCTGCACCAGATTGTGCATCATGCACTTTTAGTAAATAACCCCTATATAGTTCTATGGGGCTCATCTTCCTCTGTCTCCCAGCCCTTTAAAATCTATATGGCTGTAATGTACAGGAGCTGCCAGGAGAGGGAGTCTTTCACTGCTGAATGTAAACAAACAAAGGAGGCAACAGCTGTCAGTGCTGAGTAAGGAAAATAAAGTAAAAATAGGGCTCCTGTTGATATCGAAAGAGGCGTAAACTCACTAGTGGCATGGGACAGAGTGTCCTGTCAGGGCAAAGAAACAGAAAGCTTGGCCTGATCTCTTTAGTAGATACTTACCTTTCCCCAGGCTCCCCTGCCACCCTCCTTTCCAATCACGGCCCCAGAAATAGCCAGTACTCCTGATTTTGGAGGATCATGTGACTCACTTCCCTTCTCCATCACTGTCCAACTAACATTAAGATTACATAGGAGTTGTTATTTAAGGCTCTGTCAGAAGAATAGGAAGACAAGGATGTGTGAGAAATGTATGTATTAAAAAAGATGGAATACCAAGAGAACCTGAATGTAATGATTTAAATGTTGACAATAGATACGACTTAAAGCAGAGCTCCACCCAAAAGGGGAAGTTCCGCTTTAAGGCTTTGTCCTCCGTTCCCCATTGGCACCTTTGGGGAGTGGGAGCAAGTACCCGATTTTGACAGGTACCCGCTTCCATTTCTTCTGCGATCGCCTAGGTGATCAGAAGCAGAAGTTTTCCTCCTCCTCTCCCTCCTTGTAGTCTTCTGGGACACGTGACAGGTCCCAGAAGAGTACGGGACCATTCAGAAAGCACAGCTCTTCTTGTGCTTGTGCAGTGGGCACCAGGCTGTGAAGCCGCAAGCTGTCACAGCCAGATGCCCACACTGAAGATGCCGGGGTGAGAGGACAGCTGGTAAAACCGGCTACAATGAGGACACTGCCGGATCATAGGACAGGCGAGTGTCTTTTTTTTCAAAGTCAGCAGCTACAGTTTTTGAATTTATATATGTTTATATGTTGTGACTGGAGCTCCACTTTACATTACAATTATCCTTTTTTTTAGGGTAAAAATAAAAAATGTATACTATATTGCCAAAAGTATTGCGATGCCTGCCTTTACATGCACATGAACTTTAATGGCATCCTAGTCTTAGTCCGCAGTGTTCAATATTGAGTTGGCCCACCCTTTGCAGCTATAACAGCTTCAACTCTTCTGGGAAGGCTTCCACAAGGTTTAGGAGTGTGTCTATGGGAATGTTTGACCATTTTTCCAGAAGCGCATTTGTGAGGTCAGGTACTGATGTCAGACAGAAGGCCTGGCTCGCAGTCTCCGCTCTAATTCATCCCAAATGTATTCTATCGGGTTGCAGGCCAGTCAAGTTCTTCCACCCCAAACTCGCTCATCCATGTTTTTATGGACCTTGCTTTGTGCACTGGTACGAAGTCATGTTGGAACAGGAAAGGGCCAAAGGGCCATCCCCAAAATGTTCCCACAAAGTTGGGAACATGAAATTGTCCAAAATGTCTTGGTATGCTGATGCTTTAAGAGTTCCCTTCACTGGAACTAAGGGGCCAAGAACAACCTCTGAAAAACAACCCCACATCATAATCCCCCTCCACAGATCTTTACACTTGGCACAATGCAGTCAGGAAAGTACCGTTCTCCTGGCAACTGCCAAACCCAGAAATGTCCATCGGATTGCCAGACAGAGAAGCGGGATTCATCACTCCAGAGAACATGTCTCCACTGCTCTAGAGTCCAGTGGTGGCATGCTTTACACCTCTGCATCCGACGCTTTGAATCGACTTAGTGATGTAAGACTTGGATGCAGCTGCTTGGCCATGGAAACACATTCCGTGAAGCTCTCTATGCACTGCTGTTGTGCCAATTTCAAGGCCACATGAAGTTTAGAGGTCTTCAGCTATTGACTCTGCAGACAGTTGGCAACTTATGTGCACTGTGCGCTTCAGCATGCGCTGACCCCGTCCTGTCATTTTGCGTGGCCTACCACTTCATGGCTGAGTTGCTGTTGTTCCCAGTTGCTTCCACTTTGTTATAATACCACTAACAGTTGACGGTGGAATATTTAGTAGGAAGGAAATTTCACGGATGGATTTATTGCACAGGTGGCAACCTATCACGGTACCACAAATTCACTGAGCTCCTGAGAGCGACCCATTCTTTCACAAATGTTTGTAGAAGCATTCTGCATGCCTAGGTGCTTGATTTTATACACCTGTGACCATGGAGGTGATTGGTAGAGGTGTCCCAATATTTTTGGCAGTACAGAGTAGTACATATCTACAATACATACAGCTTTCCCCATGTTTCATACCTTTAAAAACCCTGCAAGTACAGAAAAATACTTTTTTAATGCCAAAATGCACTCAGGTCCTAATTTCTTGTGAGCTGACACAGCATTATTGCAGCATGAGTGGTGTCTGTCCTTCTCAGTTGTCTTTTGCTAAACTACTAAATCCATCCTATTGTCCTCATCTCCACAACATAGAGTCTAATTGTTCTGTAGTCCAAGATAATAACCGTGCGGGCAAGTCAAGCTCGTTGTGATAAAATGGGAAGTTGAAGAAGAAGTGTAGAAGACATGGGACAGCTCTGAATTTCTGAGATTAACAGGTATGTTTTGTATTTATAAAACATATAACAAAACATTTTCAGCTGAATAGTTAATGGACCAAAAGGGTGCAAATAAGAGGTATTTTTTGTTAGGGTTAACATACACTTTAGCTCCTGTTCATTTTTTTAACTAATAAAAAAAGCAGGGAAGTTCCAGCATTACAACATGTTATTTATTCATTACCTTGGGGTGCCCACTCAGTTGTAGTTTTGGGACTTATTTTGATTGCAAAGATAATATAATACCAAAAGTGAACTACTGAAAATTTTCAGACTTAAAACTAAAATATGCACCATTTAAGGCCACATTTACACCAGTGTGAATTGCAGCGGCAGGAAGCTTCTGATTCTTACTGTGGCTGTGCGTAGCTTGTTGCAGCACCTACCCCATTCTCTATGATAGGTTGCTGGTGACCACAACTCTTCATGGCTGTCTGCACTGCCACCGATTATCTGTGCTGAACGCTGCTGGATGCACACAAAGGGCATCCAGCAGTAATCACTAGAGATGAGCGAATTATTCAAAAATTCGATTCGGCTGATTCGCCGAATTTGCGGGAGAAATTCGATTCGATGCGAATTTATTCGCCGCGAATTTAACTTATTAAAAGGGTTTCTAGGCTTCAGAGAGCCTTTATATTAGTGCAGAACACTGTACCTTTAATTTAAATGCCCTTGGAGTCTGCTGGGGAAGAGAAATAATACTGTCAGTCAGTATGACATGCAGATGAGTGCCGTCGATCTTAGAATCACCGCACACTTCACTCATTTGGGCAGTCACGGGGCACGACGAAGAAGAAGAAGAAGAAGAAATGAAAAGAAGAATGAAAAGAAGAAGAAGAAGAATGAAAAGAAGAAGAATGAAAAGAAGAATGAAAAGAAGAAGAAAAGGAATGAAAAGAAGAAGAAGAAGAATGAAAAGAAGAATGAAAAGAAGAAGAAGAAGAAGAATGAAAAGAAGAAGAAGAATGAAAAGAAGAAGAAGAAGAAGAATTAAAAGAAGAAGAAGAAGAATGAAAAGAAGAATGAAAAGAAGAAGAAGAAGAATGAAAAGAAGAAGAAGAAGAATGAAAAGAAGAAGAAGAATGAGAAGAAGAATGAAAAGAAGAATGAAAAGAAGAATGAGAAGAATGAAAAGAAGAATGAAAAGAAGAAGAATGAAAAGAAGAATGAAAAGAAGAAGAAGAAGAATGAAAAGAAGAAGAAGAAGAATGAAAAGAAGAAGAAGAAGAATGAAAAGAAGAATGAAAAGAAGAAGAAGAAGAATGAAAAGAAGAAGAAGAAGAATGAAGAAGAAAGAAGAATGAAAAGAAGAAGAAGAAGAAGAAAAGAAGAATGAAAAGAAGAATGAAAAGAAGAAGAAGAAGAATGAAAAGAAGAAGAAGAATGAAAAGAAGAATGAAAAGAAGAAGAATGAAAAGAAGAAGAAGAAGAATGAAAAGAAGAATGAAAAGAAGAAGAAGAAGAATGAAAAGAAGAAGAAGAATGAAAAGAAGAAGAAGAAGAAGAATGAAAAGAAGAAGAAGAAGAAGAATGAAAAGAAGAATGAGAAGAAGAATGAAAAGAAGAAGAAGAAGAATGAAAAGAAGAATGAAAAGAAGAAGAAGAAGAATGAAAAGAAGAAGAAGAATGAAAAGAAGAAGAAGAAGAATGAAAAAGAAGAAGAAGAAGAAGAATGAAAAGAAGAATGAGAAGAAGAATGAAAAGAAGAATTAAAAGAAGAATGAGAAGAATGAAAAGAAGAATGAAAAGAAGAAGAATGAAAAGAAGAAGAAGAAGAATGAAAAGAAGAAGAAGAAGAATGAAAAGAAGAAGAAGAAGAAGAAGAATGAAAAGAAGAATGAAAAGAAGAAGAAGAATGAAAAGAAGAAGAAGAAGAATGAAAAGAAGAATGAAAAGAAGTAGAAGAAGAATGAAAAGAAGAAGAAGAAGAATGAAAAGAAGAATGAAAAGAAGAAGAAGAATGAAAAGAAGAAGAAGAAGAATGAAAAGAGAAGAAGAAGAAGAATGAAAAGAAGAATGAAAAGAAGAAGAAGAAGAATGAAAAGCAGAAGAAGAAGAATGAAAAGAAGAATGAAAAGAAGAAGAAGAAGAAGAAGAATGAAAAGAAGAAGAAGAATGAAAAGAAGAAGAATTCCAGTACAGCAAAAAGTGTATCTGCAGAGAGCTCCGCTATTTCTGACAGTTCTCTGACAGTTCCTTCACATTTACAGCGGTTGAAACATTGTATCTATTTATTTCCGAATAAAAACATCTGTATCCTAAATGGAAACAAATAGATACAATGTTTCAACCGCTGTAAATGAACTGTCAGAACTGTCAGAAATAGCGGAGCTCTCTGCAGTGACACTTTTGCCGGCTGATCGGGGAAAATTCGATTCGTGCACCCGAAGTTTGCTAAAATTCGGATTCGATGCGAATCAAATTTTTCCTGATATTCGAAACGAATTCCACTTCGCCAAGTTCGATTCGCTCATCTCTAGTAATCACCACAGGTAATTGCTGGCTGTGCGATCAGCCAAGAATAGCTGCAGCCACCGGAAAACTGTCATTATTAAAAAGGGCCAGAAGCCGCACCTAGCTGCTCACAACTGCAACACGAATCAGAAGATTCCTGCCGCTGCAGTTCACACTGGCCTAAATCACTGGTGTGAATGTAGCTTAGGGGAACCTAGCGGTTTAATTTAACTTGGCTCTCCTGTGCTGGATCACGTACTAAGTACATGGTCCTGCTCTTCTGCGTAGGGGGCACACATGCGGCCTGGCTATGTTGTTATTAGACACAGCACAAGCTGATCAGCAGGTCCCAGCCCATGATTGACGACCGGGACCTGGTGATCAGCAAAGAGGCTGACAGGACAGAGCTCTGTGTATGTAAACAATATAGAGCTCTGCCCTGTCAGCGGGGATGTGCCGGTTTTGTTTCCCTGCAAAGCATGGAATAAAAACTGGATCATCCCCTAGTAAAATCACCATACTGTACACACAAAGCACTGTTAGGCATACACTTATCCCTATGACCACCCCTACATTAGGTTTGAACGGTCGAGTGCGAACCAAATGGGGGTTGTTTGGCCCATCACTATCCTAAAGTATTGGTACTTAAATTCGCTGTACTGTAAAAGAAATGATATCGGTGCATCTCTAGCACTGATCAATGTATTAAATCCATAAAGTGTCAGTTAGTGTCGTACTATTACAGTCCCGCTGATCGTCGCCATACTAGTATAAAAAAAAATATACATATAAATAAATAAAATGATATAAATTTCATGTGGGTACAGTGTTCCATGACCGTGCAATTGTCTGTTAAAGTAATGCAGTACGGTATAGCAAAAAAATGGCCTGGTCAGGAAGGGGGTAAAGTCTCCCGGGGGGGGGCAAGTGGTTAAAGCAGTATTACACACAAAAGCAAGTATTCATTATATTGCAGTTTACTAATTCTTCAATCTGATAGTTGCATTACTTCTCTTTCTTTTATTTTCACCTGGTGATTTGACCAGTAAGTCTGTTGCTTTTCAACAGAACAAGCTGTCCTACAGATGTAACAGTTTACTACTGACAAGGGCTACCTGCCTGGAGTTTGCATGTTCTCCCTGTGCCTGCATGGATTTCTTCCTGGTATTCTGGTTTTCTCCCACACTTCATAGACATGCTGGTAGGTTAATTGACTCCTATCTAAATTGTTCCTAGTGTGTGTATGTATGAATGTGAGTTAGGCACCTTATATTGTACACTTCTTGAGGGTTAGGACTTATGTGAAGTCTATAGAACCAAAAACGCAAGTTTTTGAGTTTAGAAAAGTCCTGGACCCTTTCCAAAAAACACAGTGGGTGAAAACATGGAGATGTGAATGTGTCCCATAGGAAATTATGTTAAATGGACTGTAGTGCATTTCTGCAAAAAAAATACGCTTAGGTGTGATCCTAGGGTTAGGCTTGCTCTGTCTTATTGAATCCTCACATACAACTTTAGGCTTCATTTTGCGTTTTTCTACACGTGTTTTTACCACATTTTTGCATTTTGTTCAGCTCTTTTTTAAAGTGGATTTTTTTTTTTTGCTGGGCAGAATAAAAATGCAAGACACAGCAAAAACGCACTACCATGCATTTCAGCAGATTCTCCATTGAACTCTATTGTAGCAAAAATGCTGCTTTTAAAAAAGTCCCTGACCCTTTCCAAAAAACGCAGTAGTAGCTCAAAAAAAGCGTAGATGTGAACAAGTTCCATAGAAAACCATGTTAAATGGACTGTAGTGCATTTTCTGCAAAAAGCACTAAAAAAACGCATTGGTGTGAACGGAGCCTTACAGAAGGAGGGAAAGGAGTCACCACTTATTTTCTTGTGTGGATGTATGTGTATATATATTATTTTTGGGTTGAGATACAAAAAAAAATCAAGTAGGGCAGCACAGTGGCTAATGGGTAGCAACTTCTGCATGGCAGTACTAGGGTCGTCAGTTCGAATCCAACCACGACACCACCTGCTTGGAGTTTGCATGTTATCCCTGTACCTGCATGGGTTTCCTCCGGGTACTCCAGTTTCCTCCTACTCTCCAAAAATATGCTGGTAGGTTAATTGGCTCTTGTCTAGATTGGCCCTAGTATGAATGTAAGTTAGGACCAGGGGCGGACTGACAACTCATGGGG